ATCTCTAAAGCTAAATCAGTTTCAAAAGACAATGCTTGATGAAAATGCCAGTACATTTTATCTTTCTTTTTATGTATTCTAGATAGCATTACTCCACGACCCTGGACAGGCAAAAATCAGAAGATCCAGACCAGAAGAGTTTGACCAGTTTTGACAGATTCAGCTGAAATTAAATTATCAGGAGAACTTAGCATCTACTTAGGTAAGTAAATGGAAGTGCTTAGTTTCTACTTAGGTAAGTAAAGAAAGTGCTGAGCAGATCACTTCAGGGTGCTTTGAACCAACTAACAACATCCGATAAGCTAAGCTCTTTCAAAAATTAGGTACTAAACTACCAGCACAGCTCAGGAACCGAGCTTGGGGAAAGGCTGTCTACCATAAAATAAATTAATCAAAGCAAGAGGAAAAATGAGGTACTTTGAATGACACCTTTGACATGTGCCAAGGTGTTTTGTGGAAATGCTCTCTACTATGTATTTCAGCCTCTCCACCTAATATCTACCTTTAACATTCTCCCAAATGCTCAAAGCTGGTTTTGTCCAGTGACCCGGCATCCATAACACAGTGAGCTGTGATCTTGCAAAGACTTTGGCATGCACATAAAGCTAAGCACAGCCTCAGAGCCTTTAGTGAGACTTCTCGCTATGTGTAAAGTTAAGTACATTCATAGGTCTTATCAGGATGGTGGCCAAAGATTATAGAGGCATCCAAGCCGGCTGATATAGTCAAGCCTGTTCTGTGGCACATCTATTTTAAACTTGGGTCTTCTGGTTTGTATCTTAAAAGGTCTACATGTCTTAACTGATCTGCAGAACAAATTAACTTTGCAAAGTGAAAACAGTTTAGCCTTGATAAATGAATACAAACACAAAAGAGCAGCTCTCCATGGTTCACATACATCTACAGTCATCACATAAAAGGCAAGGAATTGACTAAACAGTTCTTATCCAAGCAAGTGGCTTTACGAGCAAACACAACAAATTGCCTGTGAAAGGAGCCACTAGGATGCTGACACACAGGCAAGACCAACACTATTAACTGGGTAGCACGTAATAATCTTAACCATAACTGTAGTTACTTGATTATCTAATTGGACAGAAAACACTTTTTAATTAATAATTCCATTCTTGTTTCAAGGGTATTTTTCTCGATAGTCCTTAAGATTTAAAACTTGTTAAAAGTTGTTGTAGGTTATAAATGAATACAGCCACATATGACAGAAAATAGTATCACTACACAGGCATTGCTTTTCACTTGTGCTTTTTTTTTTTTTAATTTTAGGAGGAAGAAAGAAAAACTCTTCACCACATTAATAAAGAACAAGCAATATCAGAACAACTTGAGGGGCAGTGCCTGGCTGCTAACAAATGGGCAAGGATAGCTCTAACATGCCAATTTATAACCAGGGATATTTAAACCCATTTTACAACACTTGTAAACACAAAATGAGTGATACAATATGAAAATTTTATACATTTGTTCGCTAAATTTAAGCTCAGGGCAAATTTAGTGCAAGAAATAAAACAGGGAGGTAGATGCTTAGGTTGTTTAAGTTGCCAGAGCCCCAGCAAAAGCAAAGCTGTGAGAGTTTATATTAGCCTGCAATCTACTCCATGAAATGTGCAATTAACTCAGGCGGCTTTAAATATAGTTCTCACGATTTAAAGGCCTTCAAAAAGATGCTGAAATTGTGAAATTTAGAAAAAACCCTGATGAACTATTACATAAATATGGGTAAGACAGAAAAGAGGAAAATGGGGGGCAGAAGAATCAAACTGCCTGGAAGAGGCACTGCGAAGGACAGGACAATTTTTAAGAAACTGTTTTAACTACTGAATCACAGCTTTCATTAAGCTCTGTGCAGAATGGCCACCTCTCAAGAAAAGCCACAGAAAGGAAATATCATTAGAAAGCTTATGACTTTGTGAGCCCACCCTTACATTCAAGGCAGCAAACTGTTGCGCTGTATTGTTGAGCAGGATGTAAAGAGCCTGCCAAGCACAGCCCAGAGACCCGCTAATTAAGTGAACTGATTGTGTTTGTTTTGGAACCGTTTGCCAACAAAGGAATGTGTCATGCTGATTAGTGAGAGAAGGGTATGTAATATATGTGTATTCAAACCCCGAGGAGCGCATAACCCAGGTATTCACTCTGTTTGCTCAAGGACTGACAAAAATTACTCTCAAGCAAATAACCTGACCAAAGAGAAACTCCAGCCCTCGAAAGGGGCCCTCATTTTCTCTCAGCTCTGTCTATCTAAAGAAGACCCATCCTTCATAAATTCTTACTGAAGACTGCTCCAGAAACTGCTGAGAATGTTTTGGAGTGAAACAATTGCTCCACCTCAAAGCTGACCTAAGAGACCACGAAGATGGAAAGGTAACAACAGCCAGAGGAGACCACCTTGGAATTGCAATGGCCTCTCTGACAGCTGTCACTCTTCTCTCCAAAGAGCGAGGAAGGTCAGGGAGGTAGCCAGAAAACCAAATGCCAGCTAAACACAGACCACCCCACCCCCCAACCAGACTTCACTTCTCAGACATTTCAGAGGTGAATTTTGCAAAAACTGTCATGCACCCACCTTGGAATATTTCTAACCTACCAGCCCAGTTTGCTGGTAGAATTAGTAGCATGCTCAAAAGTGAATGAGCAACATTCAACAGCAAGAAGGAAAAACATGGTCTTCGGAGTTCAGCTGCTCTTCCCTCCGTAACTCAGCAGCTACTGCCAGGGTGCTCGGTAGCCAAGTACTGAACACAGTATGTGAATACTATCCTGTAGACAGCAATTCCAGAAAACCAGGATGGAGAAAGGGAAGCATAGTTAATTCTCACCACATACTGTGCACTCAGAATAGTACAACTAAATCACAAATCTGAGTTGAGTGTTTACTCAGAGCTCTCTACGACACAACTAATAAGGAAAGCTGAACACGTCATCAGAAATTTCAGGTATAATTGCAAGACTTCACATGAACCTTTTGTGCCTTGCCATTCCACCTGCCTCAGGCTAATCTGTACGCCTATTTCTAACTACCCTCCCCACCTTACACCTGCTGTTGTAGCGGTCAGCACACCTACCTCAGAAACCTCTCTCATCTGTAAGAGATGGAAACAGACACAAACCTCTCTACCTGGCCTTCTCCCACACTGCTTTGCAGCTGATGGAGCTGCACAGGAGAACACACAGCCTCCTCTGTGGCATGACTTGCCTCCAGCCTGAAGGTGGAAAAGAGCAAAACCATGGAACTGAAATAATCAGGTTAGTTTCACAGAGGTGCATGTGCACACAGAGCAGCAATGAGATGAGAAAAACAACTAGGGAGGGAAATGGAAGCTGCTGGGGATAAAAGCAAGGTTTAGTGATAAGGAGTATAAAAGGAATAAGCAGAATGACCTCTGACAAAATAAGAAAGATAAATATTGGAGAACCTTTCACACTGATTGTGTTTTAATTAAAATCATTAACAAAGACCATGACATCAACCACAACTTCGCATTTGTGAAACATGAACTGAAGTCCTTTCTGGCTTCTACTTCATGTAACAACAGGAGCTAGAGCAGCTCCTTTTGGCTTTCACTGAACTGCTGACAAATACGATTTGATTCCAGAAGGTTTTAAACTCTGGAATTGCAAGGTATGCCTGATGTCAGCTGAAGGGCGGGTGAACAATAAACACCCAACAATGCTTTTGTGACCAAAAATCCCCCAGACAAATCAAATGGACGGAGATTTCAAGTAAACTTGTATTCCCAAATGCTGTTACAAGTTCTCATCAATCTTTCAGTAGTATCTTCAACCGCCTTTTATACAGTCTCAATAGACATCTTATGCTTTATGTCATCTTAGTCTCTCCTGTTAACTCAGTCTATCTCACCATGCACCCTAGATACATTCTTTCTTGAAAACTGTTTATAGAGCTCAGCTGCACACCTTGTTTAGCTTATGTCCACTGCTTTTTCAATGCATTTTTTAGAACCAGAGTTTGGAAAAAGAATGTGCAAACAGTGTTTGAAACTCAGGTCAGGCTGAAAATCCCGGAAGAGTAGTCCCTTCTTACTTGTAATTTAACGTCTTTGTGCATGCAGGGGAATTGGATTCTTAACAAAGCCCTTTTAACAGGCTGGTCCTGATTTTTTCCAAAGGTGGCTCTTCAATTTTTTTTCCCCTTCAGTGAAACACTTTGGAGAACAAATTAAAATGACTGTATTTGAAACAGCCAGAAAACTACTTATCTATGGAGGAATGCTGTGCCGTCAGATATACTGTCTTTCTGTTGAGTTTAATAAAAAATAGTCTCCTTATTTCAAAATCCAAGACATTTTTTAAAAAAGAGTAGTAACACTGCTGTGTTGCCAAGTCTGCTCTGGTTTCCTCCATTTTGCTTCTAGGTTTTCCATGCAACTCCTGTCCCTGTTCTGGCATCCAGTACTCCATCTAATGTGAAATAAAGGTTCTTTTGTTTAGCTTAGGACTGGCATATACTTATATTTATTTTGTCACCACCTAAGAACAGCAGTGTCATTAAAATAAATAAAAAATCTTGCATACATAGGCACAGAGAGTGCATACAGGGGCATACGGAAAGCAGAGAATTAGCTATAACATTTCATGGGGAGAACACTTTAGAATAGATGGTTATTGTTTCATAATGTACAATCCCAGTACATCATGGGCCCAGTGACATCAGGCACCACAAGGATGTCTGTGATCACTCCAGAGAATCCATTTGGCTTTTCAGGACATTTTGCAAACTCAGAACTGTGGGTAAACCACACTGTGTAATGCTACTGGGGACTCTTCCTTTTTTGAGCAGCTGTTTAGAGACTCACAGGGCTTTGGGAAGTGGCTCTTCCCATCTATTTCCAAGTCTGTTCATGCTGGCCTCCCTGGATCAGTAATCTAGTGTAGCTGCCCAGAAATGTGCATTAGTGGGATCCAGTCCCTTTTTATTTAAACATAAGATACGTGAGCCAAATGTATGACTGACATTACAGTACCTGCTTGTAGAAATGTCCTCGAAGGGGTAAAGGATTTCTCCATTGTTGCAAATCTCACAGATGAAACCCTTTTGACTACAAAGGCTGCAGCTGTACACATGAGAGGTGGCAAACTTTATCACCTTCCCCAAGAAAGGAGCCAGCTTTCCTTCAATAACCTGAAAGGAGAAGAAGACAACATGGAATGAACCCCAAACAAGGACTAGAACTCCCTGAAGGACTGAGATTATATTTATTAATACAGAAATGCAGCTAAGTGCTGCTGGTTAACACAGGAAAGTTACTTCCCAAAAATTATAGCTCCATGAAATCACATGTGATAATAGTAGCCAATGAACTGGCAATGATCTGAAAGTAAAAACAAAGTTACCATCTCTCTGTAGGTCTCTAAATGGGAACAACACACAAGGTTAGTAGTCATTTTAAGTACAACAACGCATTCATACACCAAGGCACAAAAAAGTAGACAGGAAAATAATTGAAGACTTCCGTATTATCATCGAGCTGACAGCTACAGATACTGTCTCACAGTTATGATTTTAATTTCTTATTAATTTTTATGCACAAATCACAGTTTTGTCTTTGTTCCTTTTCCTCCAAAGCAAAAGGATTTTTTTTCTTTTTTTTTTTTTTTGTGAAGGTAACCCTGGATTTGCTCCTTCAGGAAGGCTGTGTTTCCCATTGAAAACCATTAAAATACAATATTCCCCTCATTGCCAAAATGAATAACTTCTCAGATAAACTCTTGAATAGGAACTGTGTTTTTTCCTTCAGTGTCCAGCTCTCAAATCAAGAAGTCCCTCACTGCCAGACAATCCTGTTAGACCTTTAGAAGTGATTAACACTCCCTGTGTTGGTGTGAAAAAACAGCCATGCAGTATAGATTAAACTGCTAGCCACAACACTCATCTGAATTTGTGACTCGGTGACAATGCCTCAATAAGGGGTGCTATTCAGGCAAAATACTTTCCATTCAGATCAAACTTCCAGAGACTTTAAGGAATTCTGCTGGTGTAGGCAATAATGAAGATGGAGTAAGGCCCTAAGTGTACATTCTTCTCTTCTGGGCTTCCTGTGGTCTGAATGGCAGCCTGCCAGATTAGTGATAGAAATGTGTCACGGAATTTGATAGTGACCTCCTATAACAAGCAAAAAGAATGCAATAATTGCTAATTGAAGGCTTGCACAGGGCTGTGCCCTGAAACCTAAGAGTGGGCAGATTTACACTTAAATGTGTGCCAGACTGAGTTCTGGCATCCCTTCCCTAAACATGGAACACACGGCTTGTAATTTGGGTTTAGTATAAACGATCTAGAGAAAGCAAAGGTCAAGGCAGAGAAGAACAACAGAGATTCTGGAAGCACTCCTCCCCTCTGTAAAGTAGAAAGGAAATAAATTTGTGTTCCAGGGCAACTTCCTGCCCACTAGCCAAGACAGCCACTACTACAGGGTAGACGTGGCAAAGGAGGTGCACAGGTAGCATTGACATTGGTGGCGTTGACCGGGCTGAGATGTGTCCCCTCTGCTTTCAGCTCTAGCCTGTGAGCAACATCTGCAACAACAGGAAGCAGCACTGTTATTGCTAGTACTGCAGATAGGACATCTGCTCCTGTTAGAGGAAAAATGACATTCCTATTGCATCCTGGTGTAGGAAGACCCCCTTCATTTGGAATATAAACAATGCAGAGAAGCTGCTGCATGCAATACCAAAATGAAGCCATAGTTCAAGGTACCAATATTGCTCACCTTCCAACAGATGGTCAGAAGTCAGCTCAGCTGCCCACAACTGGGTTTTGGTTTTCATTTTAAATGAAGAGATTTTTTGCTTACAGACTCCAGAGTTACAGAGGGTCTGAAAGCCAAACAAGCCGGGAGTAGGGGAAAGACACAAAAGCTGATAGTATTCAATAAACAGGAGGAAAGAAACAGTGAGGCCACCCAGCTAGTGAGATGGCTAATCATCCTGCAAAAAGCCGTTTAGCCCTAGGAGACGAAATACGCATACAAATACAATAAATAAACCACAATACATATATGTTTTCCAAAGTATTTTCATGCTACAGCAACCACCTCTGATAGGACACAAGAGCTCAGCTTAAAATGCCAGGCTGAAGACAGAGCTGCAAACAAACTCTCTAAGTCTGTACTAATGCCACTGCCAGCAAGGACTTAAAAGTTCAATCTCTGAATGAAAAACCTATTTTGTATAATGTAATAAACAAAATTGAGATAATCTATTACCTTCCTAAGCACCAGGGGTGAACTTAAGACTGTGCAGGGCACAAAAGGTTTTCAACACTGAAGAGCCGGCACCCTAAGCAGGACAGATTGCGAGTGAGCAGCTGCCCCCGAGGAGCTGGTGTTATTTGTCCCTATGTGTTTATTTATTTGTACAGCCTGTTGTAGCGCTGTAGTGGGTTGGCCTGTAACTCCGGCCACTGCAGACATACAACGAAGATGGTATCTTCAAAGAGCCACACATGCCAATTTTGCAATGTGAATTACAGGCCATTTTACTGTATTATAGGAGGAAGACAAAATGCAACATCAAACTGATGTTATCGCTATTTTTAGCATCTGTAAATTTTGTGTCATTTTGTTTCATCAGAGACTTGAGGGCTGTGCACAGGATATGACTTTCCCTTTCAGCCTTCTCTCATTCGTGTTTGTAGCTAATAAGAATAAAATCCTCATCTCCATTTACCCTGGCAAGCAAAAAGGATGATTTTTACTTGCTGTCCCCAAGAGGAGTTTCATGGTAACACTTCCCCAGTGAGTGTCTTACGGCTTGAGAAAAGGAGTGCAGGACACAATCAAAGGTGTCAAAACTTCTCCTGTGACTAAGCACTCTCTTGTGACAGCCAGAGGCCTAGGGTCAGTCCGTTTAGACATCCCAGAACCACGATGGCTGAGTCCCAGGATGTTCTCCCAGTTGACACTGGAATCTGATCCTCAGTTTCAAGGAAATACAAGTGATTAAAGAATAGAAGTGTGTTTAACAGATGTAACGCATTGTCCAGATATTACGGAAATCATGAAGGGGGGGAAAAAAAGACCTCAAGAGGCCACCTTGGCAGAGCCAGCAACATCTACATCATTCTTTACAGCTGTATCTTGACTAAAGCCTTTCAGTGATGGAGGCTGCACAGCCCCCAGGCAGGCTATCCCAGCACACATCTGTTCTCAGTGCTGGAGTCACTCCTAAGCTTTGACCTGAACCCTTCCTAAGGACATTTCAGTTTACAAAATAAGCTTACAAAATAAGTTTACAAAACAGAGAACTGTGAAATCACACACTACTTGCCGCGGAACAGTCCATCACTTTTCATAAGTAATGTGGAAATTTAGCACAAAACTAAGTTAAGAGTATGCCCAACGGAACAGAAACCAAAAATGTCACCACTGACTTATCCCTGTAACATAAGACAGCATCAGCTTGCACTTGCAAAGGCTTAAAAACATATTCCTGACTCTTAAAAAAAAATTCTTTGTACTGCAAATCCTTTGTAGTGCAAGCAACTGTTTCACTGCCCAAAATTAAGGGTGAAAGGTGACTGATGATGGCACCCTGGTCATCAACTGATGGAGGGTACAGTGCAGCTTTCTCTTCCTAAACTGGTCAAGGAACTCATCCCTATGGCAGAGAGGCAGTCCCCTCACCTCTGACACATGCAGAGCTACAGGGCTCTCCTGACCTCATCTTTCATCTGAGCTCTCAGGGCTGAGCACAGTGCTGGCTGAAGCCCACCTCTGAAGGCCCCCACTCCCCAGCCCAGCCTTGTCCCTAAACCTTCTCCCATGCAGCACAGTACAGGGGGTCCAAAACTCCAGCCCACGGCACACAGCAGAGAGAAGCCAAGTCACTTGGTCCTCCCTTTTCAGTTAACAAAGACTCCTTGTATGAGAACACACTTACCAGCATGAAGGAGGGTTGCACAAACTAGTCCCACGGGAGAGCAATGCAGTGAGTACGGTGTTGCAATATATATGTTTTCCCATTAAAAACCAAACTGGAAAGGTAGTCAAGGTAACAGTGGCAGAATTTCTAGTCTCGAGAGTTCTAACTCAGAGAGATGGTAACCTAAACTCACGGCTTGTAATAACTTTCTGCTTGGAAAACTGAACAAGACAAAAAACGCAAGGAAAACCAGCCAAACAGAATTAGAGTTTGTTCCGGTCCCTAACAGATGTTCAAATCAGAATAGAGAGATAATAGCAGCGTCTGACTGGGTGTCACTGAAAAGCAATCAAGTATTGATCAGACAAGATAAGGATAGAAGTCCCCTCCAAACTTCAGCTGTGTCATTCCCAAGGAGTTAATGTTACAAGGGCTTCAGAGGGAACTAGAGGGGGTGTGTGCAAAAGGAGAAGGAAAAATGAGTCAGCTGTAATCCACAATTGCTTCAAGTAACGCCTCCATAGCCTTCCGCCCACCTATTAGACCAAGTTCACAGAAGTACCCAACCTTTGCATCACGGCCACATACATCAACACTGAAATCTATCAGACACGATGAACTTTCTGGACCCAAGAGAAAAACAGTACCATTTTCAGACATTTCTCAGGACAGTGAGTGTTTGTTTTTAAGGCAGGGCTCCTGTCAGTAACGCTAACTAGGAAGTAAAAGGTAAGGAGTGAGACCTCTGTCCCTGCAGGAGTCTAGGCTGTGAGTTTGAGCGAAGGCCATGAAACCTCCTACCCTGTCTGTGCATTTTTACCAACTTCTCAAAGCACAGTATATGTTTACATAGCATGGAGAGCCTAAATACCTTTGATCACCTACATGAGGATTGTCAAGACAGGCAGTAAAGGGGATATAGCTTGCCAAACTTTCAGATACACTGTTGGGCTCGATGTGAGGAACTGCCATGGTTAAGAAGTCCAAATTCTGAAGAGTGTCATCGTATATTAAACCACATCAAGGGTTTCTCAACTAAAATAATTGTTAGGTTGAATTTGCTAATCTGAGTAATTTCCAACATACCATAATGACAGTAAAATCAGAAGCAGGTAAAAAAAAAAACCCAACTTTTTTTTTCTTATATTAAGATCCAAGATAATAGAGAATCCACAGATGAAGGATATTTCAACTGAAGCTATTCAGAATCTAAGAGAAGGAAGAGAAATCCACCCACACCTGTATATTCTGCCAGTCTGA